AATTAGTCAAATGTTCCTTTCACCCACTTTGGAAAAGATAATTAAAGCTAATGAAATATCTCATTGTCTCCATAATATGCTCAGGAACACAGACCCAATGACACAAGTATCATATTCACAGGTACACAGACATGTACTCAAACAGTCCACACCAGAAGTTCACATACACACAGACACACAGAGAGAAATACATGCAAGTGCACACATATAGAAGTATATACTGACACACACACAGGTACATGGGCAGAAGCATTTGCACTCAACACACACAGGTACATTCAAAAGTATCACACATAGAAATACACATGTCCAGTTACATAACAAGTGTTTGTAGTCAGGTACATACAGACATTAACACACAGAAATATACAGTGGTACACCCCAATAGAATTGTACACACACACACACACACACACACACACAGAGTTTAGCTGTGGACTTCATTTCCTTGATTAGCACAGATAATACAGAGTTGGTTCTACCTGTTTCCCACTAAATAACAGCAACTCCTTACATTTCTTTACAGTTTTTCAAAGATTTTTCACAGACATTGTTTCACCTGGGATAGAGGAAACATCACAGTCTTCCCTTTACAAATGTGGAAGCCCAGAGAGATTAGGAAATTGGCCCAAGACCACATAGCTAGTAACTGAGCTGGGATTAGAACTCAGGTCTTATCATTCTCAGAGCTGTTTCACTTTGTTCCCTGAATGAGGATGGAAAGCGAGCACAGTTACAAGGTTTTGCAAGTGCTCAAACATTGTGAATAATTTAATAGCTCCAAAGGACACAAACATTTCCATTTTTCACAACTGCATTGCAAGAGGACTCTGATGGACTTTCTCCTGTCTTGATAAACACCCAGATAGTGAAAGAGAGCAGGACAGCCTCTTACTTACCATTCAGAAGGTTGGTGCTGAGAAAAAGTAGCAGAATGAAAAAAACTGTGGATGCCTCATTTTTCGCCATGTTGACACCCTTCACTTTCTACCTGGAAATGTCTCAGAGTTTCACTGGAAGAGAAGGAACCAGGCAACTTTTGTGAGATGACAATCTGCTCAGGCACATCCTCTACTTTATTCGGGGTGTTTGCAATGGATTCCTCTCCTTGCCTAATGTGAATGACCAAACAAGAGGAAAGGAATGTAGGAAAATGGAATAGGTTGGATGGCTTGGCTCAGAAGCACCGGTTCACAAATGCTAGGAAAAATTCCACCAGCAGAGGTCATTAGATGACAACGAAGGAAGTTCAAGGGAGCCATGCAACTGTCAATTCCTTTGCACACACCCCAAAGAAAAATTGTTCTCTTTCTACCCTGCAGTTCCCCAGTAATAGAGTATGCATCTGTTGTCCCACAAGGGAACCATTCTAGGAGGGCTCTGTCTCTGATTCACCAGCCAAAAATAAGATGGGCTGACAAGTCAGCACTTTCAATAAGACTTTAAGCTGGCCCCACTGATGCTGCCAAGTTAGGAGGGTGTCTTCTGAAGGTATAGGTTGGGAAGGTTCTGGAAGTCTTCTGGGCTATGGACATGGCTGCAAACCACATAGTGAACTCTAGTGAACTTCTATGTGTTTTCTTTCTCCTTTTGAGAAGACCCACAAACAAGAGATGATAAACTCCAGTAATAATTCAAATCCCTTGGGTTCAGAGTTTTAAGTAAATTTTGAACCTGCAGGGGTTGAGTGTGCAATAATTTATTATTAATATTATGATTTTTACCCTTGGGATTAATTTCAAAGCTTCTAAATACCCTTCTAAGAAAAAGGATTTTAAAAGACACTTGAAAAAAACCCATTAATCTTATTGGACTTCAAACAATTCTCAAAAAACAATAGATTTGATTAATTAAGTATAAATTCTCAGAAACACATGGCTTAAATTTCTCAGTTTTTTTGAATCAAGGGAAGAAAATCCAGGGGCAAGGCTCCCCCCATCTGGGGAAACTTGAAAAGGATGAGTGTTGTTTGTTGAATTCCTAAAAGAACAACTTTTGCCCATTTCTACTGACCAGAGGATAGCTCTCATCTGCCAGCTGGATACAATCTAATGGACAATGTCTGGAGGGATTTTCCACCTGTTACTACCCTATCAGAGACATACTGAGAAATAAAATCTTAGTGACAATGGAGTTTTGAGATACACAGGCTCCATCAAGTACCTCTTTTATATTGAGGTCCAGTATTTGATCGTCAGTGAACTCTGAGTAGCCTGTGTGTTGTTCTTTGGGGACTTTGTACATGCTCTTGTAGGATTCCTTCCAAATACCTTCTGAGGTTTTGCATTCTACAAGTTCAGCTAATGGAGCCCATTACTAAAGGCTCATAAAGGATTTAATGTAGGAACCTGGTGGTGTAACAATTCACCCCTTGATTGCTAACAGAAAGGTCGATGTTTCAAACCCACTAGCTGCTCCTTGGGGGAAAAGGCCTGGTGATAAGCTCTTGTAAAGAATATAGCCTAGGAAATGATATGGGGCAGTTCTTCTGTGTCCTGTATGGGTACTATGATTTGGAATTGACTCAATGTCATACAACAACCACAAACAGTTTGAAATAAGGGTACCACCAAATGAGACTATCCCCACGAATATATATAGGTTTGGCAGAGGACATAGATCCATATGTATCCATATGTGCTGCAAATATATCCATGAATATAGAAGAACATACAGGGGGCAAGGTTATGAAAAATTCTTAGCTATGGCCAAACACCTGGAGGGAATAAGTTGCTAGGCCTGGGGGTTTAGGACCATAGTCTCTTTATCAAGTTCAATGGGCATAACGTAGTCCACAAAGACAATGTTCTACATCCTATTTTGGTGAGTAACAACTGGAGTCTTCAAGGCTTGTGAGTGGCCATCTAAGGTGCAACTATTGGCCTCTCTTCATCAAAGACTCATCCTGTGGTCGCAGGATCATGGAGGCTGAAGTTTGCATGGTCAAAGTGGACCGTGCAAACTGCAGCCTCTATGATCCTGTGACCACAAGAACTAGATGGTACCTGGCTACCACTGCTGACCACTGTGAAAGGGATCACAATAGGAGGTTCTGGATACAATAGAAAAAAAAATGTGGAACAAAATTCAAAATAATAAAAAAGACCAGATTTACTGGTCTGATAGAGACTGGTGGAATCCTTGAGACTATGGCCTTCACACACCCTTCTGGGCCTGGAACTGAACTCACCTCCATGGATCAACTTTTAGCCAAACAATAGACAGGCTTCTAAGGTGAACAATAATACAAAGGAGGAGCATACTTCTTGTAACAATCAACCATACAAGACCAGAAGCATGGCATTTGCTGAAGAACAAAACTCCGAAGAAAGAGATAGGAAAGGAGGACAGATGAGAACAGTGAACACAAAGAGGAAGTGAGAAGAGAGCTTTTACACTGTGGGGATTGAAAACAATGTCCCCGAACGGGATATATATGAATTGTTGAACAGAAAACTAATTTGCTCTGTAAATTTTCACCCAACCCACAATAAAAAATTTAAAATAAAATAAAATGAAGGCTACCACTGATGGGACACCTATTACAGGCAGACACTAAATTTCATGTAGCCCTCACAACACCATAATAGGTACAGGTAATTACCATACCCTTTCCACAGGTGAGGAAACTCAAGTACAGAGAGGTTGAGCAAATTGTCAGTCACATGCCACTGGGAGAAAAAGATCTGGCATTTAGAGCATCTGGCAAATCATCCTGAATCATGGAAACTCTGAGGTGGATTGTGCAATTATTTCCCTCCTACTTGGGAGAGAGTAGGGATAGATGTAACTGTCCCAAGGTAAGCAATACTCCAAGCTTTATACGGGAGTCTGGGCAGGAGCAGACAAGCCAGAGTTGAAGAGAGCAAATTTCAGCTACTGGCTCTCCTTAGCCAAACCAAACTAAACCAAACCCATTGCCATGGAGTAGATTCTGACTCATGAAGACTGTGTTACAGAGTCGAAGTGCTCCATAGGGTTTCTTGGCTGTAATCTTTATGGAAGTAGATGGTCAGGTTTTTCTTCTGCAGCATTGCTGGGTGTATTTGAATGCCAACCTTCTAAGTTCGTAGTTGAGCACAAGCTGTTTGTGCCAAAGAGACACCTTCTCCTTAGCCCAGGGGATCTCAAACACTATTGATTTCACTAATTCAGCTTCACTGTTGTTGTTGTTGTTATGTACCGTCGAGTCAGACCCAACTCATAGCGACCCCTCCTTGGATTTCCGAGGCAGTATCACTACAGAAGTAGATTGCCCCATCTTCCTTCCGAGGAGTGGCTGTCAGCTTCATTAGGTATACATTAAAACAAAACCTAACAAAAACAATAGTTTCTCTTGAGTTGATTCTAACTCACAGTGACAACTCCACGTGTGTCAGACTAGAACTGTGTTCCATGGGGTATCCAATGTCTGATTTTTTTGGAAGTAGATTGCCAGGTCTTTCTTCCAAGGCACATCTGGGTAGACTCAAACCTCCAACCTTTTGGTTAGTAGCTGAGAACACTGTTTGCACCATCCAGGGACTCTAGGAACATATGTTGTTAGGTGACATCGAGTCAGCTGTGACACATAGCGTACCTTTGTACAACAGAATGAAACACTGCCCAGTCCTGTGCCATCCTCATAATCCTTGCTATAGTTGAGCCCACTGTGTCAATCCTTCTCAGAGAGGTTCTTCCCCCTTTTCACTGACCCTCTACTTTACCAAGCATGGTATCCATCTATAGAGACTGGTCCCTTCTGACAGCAAGACCAAAGTAGCTGAGACAAGTCTATCCATTCTTGCTTCTAAGGAGCATTCCAGATGCACTTCTTCCAGGACAGGTACATATAGTCCCTGGAAAAAATGAGTCCTTTTCCCTGGTGATCTGGTGACCAAAGCCTGGGTTGGGGATGAGATTCTGGCTATTGGTTGAAGGATTTGTATAATAGCCCTTTATTGAAACTTCCCTGCTTGGGCACTGCATCAAAATGCCTGAGATCAACAAGCTATAAATTACCCCTTGCTGGCAAGGTCAGATGCTATCCAGACAGCTCTGCCAAGTCAGGCTGCATGTGTTTTGCAGAAGAAATGCTGGGATTGGGAGAAGAACAGAGGTCTGGCAGGAACAGATATTGTCCAATATGCTTCTATTACCTTTGAGCTGTTTCATGCTCAAAGACACTCTTCTGAAGAAAATCTTGCTATAACAATGCTTTTAGGAAGCATTTTATGGACTAGAAAGAAACAACTTTGCTCTTGTGTTTCCTAAGATGTAGCTCGGGCTCTGGTTGCCATGTAGAATTTTTAATGCCTTGCAACCCCTGTGCCAGGGAATTAGATATACTCACAGTGGTGTAGTTATTGTGTTTCAAGAACAATTTCCCAACTCATCCTGCATCTTACTCCCAGTAGGACAAACACAGTGGGGTAAGTAAACCTTTAGATAGAAAGAAAATCATAGCTGCTCACCCATGAGGGCGCTAGCTGGATGCTAATTCCGATCATCCATTGTGGAGCAAACATCCCGCTTGTCCATCAACCATTTTTCATAGCTAGCAGACATGAGACTGGAAATAAATTTGGTTTCTGCCTCTTGGAGTCCATGCCCCATTGCAAACAGGATTTTGATCAACAGCAAGCATGATCCTTCTTATTTATCTCAATTGGGACTGAGATACTCAAAGAGGGTTCATGGAAAACCAAACCCATTGCTATTGAGTTGATTCCAACTCATAGTGACTCTATAGGACAGAGTAGAACTGTCCTATAGGGTTTCCAAGGCTATCTTCTTTATGGAAACAGACTGCCACATCTTTCTTCTGACAAGTGGCTGGGGGTTTCAAACTATTGACCTTTTGGTTAAGAGCCAAGTACTTAACCACTATGCCACCAAGGCTCCTAGGAAACCCTCCGAGGGAGTTCTACTCTGTCACATGAGGTTGCTATGAGTTGAAACAGACTCAACAGCACCTACCAACAGCAAAG